GGATTTAAGGTCCCTTCCATCCCAAAAAATTCCCTGATTCTGTGATGACCTCCTGGGCCTTTCCCACCCTAAACATTCCTCGGATTCTCCCAATAATTCCATGACCCTATTCCATGACTCCCACCTGGTGGATACACAGGGAATGCCTGGGGCAGGACAACCATACCCAACCACATCCCAAAAAACCAAAATCCATAATTTGGGTGAATCCGGAGAATCTGACCCCGGTGATCCCTGTCCGGCAGCACAAGCAGGAGGAGCTGGACGGGGATGGCTGGGAATACGCTTCCCTCTTCGGATGGCGCTTCCACCTGCAGCAGCGCCGCTCCGACTCCTTCCGCCGGCGCCGCTGGAGACGCCGCATGGAGCCCCTGGAACGCACCGGCCCCGCCGCCGTCTTCGCCCTGGAAGGGGCTCTGGTAGGGAACAGCTTCCCACATTCCCGAATTTCCTCCTGGGAATGTTATCAACTTCCCATTATCATTGGCTTCCCGTTATCGGCTTCCTATTTTCAGCTTCCCATTACCAGCTTCCTGTTTTTGGCTTCCAGTTATCAGCTTCCCATTATCAGATTCCCATTATCGGATTCCTGTTATCGAATTCCCATTATCAGCTTCCCATTATCAGATTCCCATTATCGGATTCCTGTTACCGAATTCCTGTTATCAAATTCCCATTATCAGATTCCCATTATTGGATTCCTATTTCCAGCTTCCTATTTTCAGCTTCCCATTACTGGCTTCCCGTTTTTGGCTTCCAGTTATCAGCTTCTTGTTATCAGGCTCCTGTTGCCATTTTCCCGCTCTCTGCTTCCTATTATCAGCTTCCCAATATCGGATTCCTATTATTGGATTCCCCTTATCATCTTCCCGTTACTGGATTCCCATTATCGGATTTCCGTTATCAGCTTCCTGCTAGCAGCTTCCCATTACCAAATTCCCATTTTCAGATTCCAATTATTGGCTTCCCATTATCGGATTCCCATTATCGGATTCCCGTTATCGGCTTCCTATTTTCAGCTTCCCATTACCGGCTTTTCGTTTTTGGCTTCCAGTTATCCGATTCCTGTTACCAGTTTCCCGCTATCAGCCTCCCATTATCAGATTCTCATTAGCAGCTTCCCGTTACCAGATTCCCATTTATCAAATTCCCATTATTGGCTTCCTGCCATCAGCTTCCCGTTATCAGCTTCCCATTACCAAGTTTCCGTTATCAGATTATCAGATTCTCATTATCAAATTCCTGTTATCAGATTATCATTATCAAATTCCCATTATTGACTTCCTGCTATCAGCTTCCCATTACCAAATTTCCGTTATCAGATTATTGTTATCAGATTCCCATTATCGAATTCCCTTTATCAAATTCCTATTATCAAATTCCTATTATCAGATTCCCATTTATCGAATTCCCATTATCGGCTTCCTGCTATCAGCTTCCTGTTACCGAATTCCCATTTTCAGATTCTCATTATCGGCTTCCCATTATCAGACTCCCATTATCAGATTTCTGTAATCGGATTCCTGTTATCGAATTTCCATTATCAGATTCCCATTATCACCTTCCTCTTATCAGATTTCCACTATCAAATTCCCATTATCAGATTCCCTTTATCAGATTCCCGTTATCAGATTCCCATTTTTGAATTCCCGTTATCAAATTCCCCTTATCGAATTCCCATTTTCAGATTCCCGTTTTCCTCCCTGTTCCTTCCCTGCCATCCCGACTTTCCCCACTATTGTTTTTTTTTTGGATTTGGATTTCCCAATCCGCCGCTTTTCCAACGATTCAACCAGAGCCAAGGCAGCACAAAGCTCCTGTTCTCTGTGTTTTTATGGAATTTTTTCCCTCCTTTTTGGCTTTTTTCCCCATTTTTCTCCACTCCATCTTTCTCTCCGATCCAGCGTCGATCCTTTTGGGATAAAAGCGGCTTCGCAGTGTTTTTTCCCCCATCTGGGGGGTCCTGGCTTCCTCCCACCCCCAGAGCTCCTGGTCGGATTGTTCCCATTCCCAATTTTCCCCCTGGGATCCAAAAATGGGAATTCTCATCCTCCAAAACCTCTCCTTTTCCCACAAATATTCTGCTGGTGCAATTAAGAAGACTCAGGAATTTTTTTTAGGATTTCCCGACGAAAATTTCCCAAATTCTGGGAAGCCCAAACCCCTCTTGCACACCCCATTGGATCCCATCCTGTGGGGAATCCCGGCTCTGGAGGCGATCCCGGCATTCCCGACCTTCCCTGATTTTCCTTGCAGGGGGGAGTGACGGACGACAAAAGCGACGACGGAAAATCCGACGGAAAATCCGCATCCACGCTCAGCTTTGGGGTGAACAGACCCACGATCTCCTGCATTTTTGACTGTGAGGATCCAAGGAGGGGTGGGAAAAGGCACTTCCCATCCTTTTCCTGGAAAAAGATGGAAAAGGATGATGGAAAAAGGGTGGAGGGGGGATGGCGATTATGGGAATATCCACAGGATTCGGGATCGATGTTTGGGATGTCCTGGGGGGATGAAGCCGGGATTTTCCTCAGATGTGAGAC